TACATATTAATAGTTTTAAATCTTATTTTAAATTTCTCTTCAGAATTTCTTGAGAATCTGATGTGGGGTAGATGCCCCCCCTTCCTCAAGAACGTAACAGAAAATGTCTAGAACATCTAAACCCATAATTGAAACTGGTGCATTTATACACTGGGGTGAATGACTACATAAATAAGCAGTTAGATGTGTAATTGGCCACTCCTTACATTACACCACTTGTTCATACAAAAGCATATTCTGTTTTGGTGGTGCAGTTGAGCATGTACAGTCGGGAACATCTTGTCCTGTTTATGGCCTTCAGTTAGCATGGCTTAACTCCCGACCAAAGCAACCTTCAAGCACCCAATCAATGTATGTTCTTTCCAGAATCTGAAAAACACACACAACTTTTGGTGAGCCCCAGCAAAAAAGATACCAGAGTAGCATACTGCTAGGGAAGAGCCAGTTGGACCACTACTGTTTCACCAGGCCAACTAGGAAGCTTGGTGAGAAAAAACGGGATGCTGTTAAAGCATTTCCAAATCCCTGCTGCATAAGGCTGAACCACGGTGGACTGAGCTAATGCCATAGGATGAAGTTTGGTGCAGGTGACAATGAATCTAGCAGACAAGGAGGTTGCTACAATACTTGGCACCTGCAGCCTCCCTTGTCCCAAGGTGAGGATGAAGGCATGGCACTGGAGCACTCAGGGGAATTCAGAACCCTCCTTGGAGACTGAGGAGCTTCAGCAGCACAGGGAGTATAATTTATACCTCCCTGTACCAGCTCCAGTGAATCTGTCCCATAGAGCCCTTATGTAGCTTCATTAACCTAATTGGAAACCACCTTTATTTAGTGCCATGCAAGTCATTTCTGAGCCTCTAATTATGCACAATTCTCCTTTGAGGCCATATTTCATTCTTCCTTGGGAGTACTGGAATGGGAGACATGCCATCTCCAGCACGTAACTGCACAGCTGAAACTCTCCTATGGGGTGCACAAGAATTAAGAAAATTCCAATGAAGAGCTTATTTAAGTAGGCATGATGGAGCCTATTGAAATATGAAGTGAAAAAGGAGGGAACTTCATTATAGCTCTGAAACAGAAACAAAACCTGGGAAAACACAGCCAAAAAAGGTCAGATCAGCTGTGGAAATGAGCTGTTTTCTTTTCTTAGCATGCACAAAGAATAAGAACTTGGCAAAGTTTGCAAGACTTCATTATTTCCTTCAGTTATAGGCAGAAACCTGTCAGTGATCCATCCTCTAATACATTAAGGTGCAGGCGTCATCGTATGAAATCAGGATGTCAAGAAAATAATCCATGAGATGTGCTTCTATTTCTAATATATTAGGTAGAATATAGCCTGTTTTTATGGGAGTGCTTGAGCCATTTGTAAACATACTTTTATCATTTCCTCTATTGCAATGAGGAATGTATATGTATTACATTGATAGATGTTCTGAGATCATTGACACTAAGCTAGGCTGACTGCAAATCAGTGTGGAGAAATGTGGAGATTTGTCAGGTTTGTGTCTCAAGCTAGTCAAGACGACACTAAATCCTGTCTACTTACCTTGCTGGTGAGCCTGGGCAAGGTAAATTAGAATCAGTGAGGATATCATCATAAAAAAAATATCCATGTCTTTCATGCGCTGCTTTCTTTCTGGGTTCAGGAAATCTCTCCCCATAACAGATAAATCAGAAAGGAGTTAATTTGTTTTAGCTCATTAAGTACATGGGATCAGATGGCTGGAGAGGGATTTATCCGGGATTCTACAGACCTTTTCCTCTCATCTAGGGGTCCAAATCTGGCCTGAGAATGCACTGAACAAAAGTCATCACTGTCCTGTGACTGTGTGAAAGGAGGTGGTGGGTTTCCATCCCCTTCCTATGCATATGTTAACATGAAAAAAAAATCAACCCCAGCACCACTTACATTGCTGGAAATCCAAGGAAAAGATGAACACAGCAAGCATCTCCCCCTAGAGGTACTCCACCAGGTAAGGGCTGGAAACATGGGAGCAAAGTGGTAGAGGGAAGCTTACACACCTTTTGCTCTGTAGTAGAGAAAAAGACTTCAAGCTGCAGGAGTGTCCATCACAAATGCTAAATGCACTCTTTTTTTTTTTTTGACAGCAGTGACTGCTGCAGTTTTGTCCCTCCTCAAAAAGAAAAAAAAAAATAATCCAACTCTACTTGACCAACCCTAAATGTCCTGGAAGGGAGGGGAAGGAGACTCCCCTCAACCTGTCCTAGCTAGCTGCTTAGCTATGCTCTTCAGAGGCCCAAAGCTGCGGCTGAATTCGATTTAAGCTCCATTGCTCAAGGTCTCTCCTGAGAAGAGGAGGACTGTAAAAACTCCTTTCTGCTCAGTTTAATCAGATTTCAAAACGAGATGAAGTTTTCCTAGCAGCTGCAGCAGCAGCACCAGAAACCCCAGCGTCCCACATTACAGCCCCTTTCATTGCCGTCAGGAGAGCAACAACACACGGACCCCAAATCACATCCAAGACGGAGACGCAGACAACGGCTGGGCTGGAATTCGGAGCTTGCCCTGCGGCACCCTCTCTGTCCACTCCCAAACCCCTTCTCTTATTGTGAATTACTGCCAGGTCTGAGCTAATCCTCCTGCACTTTCCCCGTCTCTTCCCCATCCCAGCTGGCCCGCAGCTTGTCCTGCTGGGGGTCGGGACCCCACAGACCTCCAGTTTAACCTGCACCGCCAAATACCGGCAACTGATCTGTGAGACTCCCAGTGCATGGGGAAGCGACCACGTAGCACTGGAGCCGGAGAACCAGGAAACCTGTCCACATGCTTAATAAATACGGCAAATCAGAGAAATGCAGAGAAGGAAGGTATCTCCCCGAATGCTGCCACCCCCCCTCCAGCTGGGGGACGAATGGGCATTTAGTGAAGAGAACAGGGGTGGTAAAGGGGGGGGTCCCCACCACTGTGAGCTCTTCAGACACGACTGGTTTCCTATCTTGGGGCCCCCCCACAAAGGAGCAGGGCCAGGCTGGTCTCCAAAGCTGCAGGACCCCTGCAGCCTCTGCCCCCCTCGCTGCCCAGGGGGGGCCCGCACCTGCAGGGGGCTTCTCCTCCCCCACACACCCAGGCTCTGCGCGTGTCTGGGGGGGCCACCCATCTCTGGCGCACACAGCTTCACACGAGGGCCCCTCACACACGTGCAGCCCCATTGCTGGGGGGCTCGCACAGACACGCAGCCTGAGCTGGGGCTGGGGGCTCCCCCGCGTCCTGGGGCAGAGCAGCGCTCAGCCCTCGAGTCACGCGTGTGCGCGCCTATGCGTGCCTGTGAGGGCGGGTGTGCATATGGACACGCGTGTGCATGCATGTGTGCACGCGTGTGCATCGGTGCATGCATGTGCCGGTGGGTGCGCGCGCACCTGTGCAGGTGGGTGCCCGTGCGCGCGCCGCCCGGTACCTTTCCCGCGCGCCCTCCGCGCCCTCAGCCGGGCCGCCCAGCGCTCCGCAGCCGCCA